CTATGCAAGCAGTTAATTCCACTTGAGATCTCCTTTGCCATTCTAATTTTAGTTTGCCAATCCAACTGAGAAAAATGATTATGCAAATAACATCGAAGATCTCCATCATTGGCAAATTGAAGAACCATATAGTATGTTCCAGTTTTAGGCTCTTATTAACATTAAAATATCCATCATTAGATATTAACGTTTATATGTTTATTGTATGAAATTAAAATACCTTGAGTAATTCCAAAAAACCGTATGATATTATCATGATGGTTAATCTTTGTAAAGTTTTTGACCTTAAAATAAATACGTTAACTTTTAGCATATTAAGCAGCATAATTAATGTGAATCATGGTAATTAGTTACACCTCTCTAACAAATCCTTCATCAATCGAACCCTCAGCATATAAACTCTTTAAAGCTACAGTTTTTTCTGTATCACTTGAATAAGCACTGAATACAGTACCAAATCCTCCTTTACCAATTACTTTTTTGGTGTCAAAAGAATTATAGTCAAAAAACTTAATATATGCTTGCTCGAAAGCAACTTTAAACCAATCGTTTATATCTGATATTCGCATAATTTATTTTCTGTAAATCTTTCCTAGATTGATTATGTTTAGATTGCAGAAGACTGTGTGAAACGATATAGTTCTTTCTTGTGTACTAATATAGCTCAAAAAGCATACCGAAGGACTGACGGTTTTATTGTGTTTTGGGTTGGGATTTGGGACAACTTTACTTAGGATTTGAATAAGGTTTTAGGATAGCATATATATATTAGTCATACGATTTACGGATCACATCAATTGTGGAATGTTACCCATTTTTGAAAAAAAAAATTTATTTGGTGTTTGAACAATAATTGTATATTTGAACCGATTTACTTAAAAAATGATCTACATGCTGTTTTGCAATCATCTACGCTCACCATCTAATTAACACGAATAAGAGTAAATTTGAATGGCTTATCATAAATATTTATAAATTTTATTTTTATGTTTACATGTTAAATGAATACAAATAAATTTGAAAATATTTTTACCAGCGGTAACTATCAATGTACCTAACAAAATCATTTACACTAGTCGAAATAAAATGAATCGGCCAAATCTCATGTTTTTTTAACTTCCTATAAATGATTTTTTATTTTTTTTATATTTTTCTTTTTTCTCTCATGACCTGATATGTCACCTATTAACGGCGTTATTCGTGTCATTATGGGTATATATTAAAACCAATAAAGATATCAACTTACTGACGCCTCTATCAGCTCTGATATGTATTCTATAATGACATGAATGAATATTATGATATTTATTCAAATTTGTTTTATTTTGATCAGTGTTAACTTTTTTTATAGGGAGTTTCTATTTGTACATGGGATATCTGAACATATATAGAAAGTCAATCAGATCACACGATCATTCTTTAAGAAATCATCTAACTCAAAAATTTTGCTTATGAAACCATCTTTTGGGTATTAATTAAAAAAATTCCTTGTAAATTTTTGGTATAATCTTAGGTAGCATTTAACTTTTCGTTTGATACAAATTGGTTTGATTTAATATCCGCGTACAGACTATATAGTTATCCGTCAGCTTGACGTCATTTCTGTAACTTTTATCGTTATTTGGCAAAAATGACGTCACGCTGCCAAATAACTAAATTATTCGGCAATCTGATAATAAGCAAGCCGACGGATAACACCGTTATTGGATGTTACACACCAAATAACTTGTTTATCTGACTTGCAGCCAGATAATGATGTTATTCTTTTGATGGCGATTGCATCTAGATTGCATCATCACCAAAAAACTTGAGTCATTCTATTGGTACAATCATAATAAGGTGCCGGATAATACCGTTATTGAATGCTACTCAGCCAATAACTCGTTTATCTGTCAGTGAATTTAATATGTCGTTTCTGGGAAGTTTTCAACTGGGGAATAAAATACCATAGTGCTAGGAGAACTACGGCAAAAACTATTAATCAATGTATTTTTTCTAACTTTCCGAAAAGAGAAGTTTGTTTAGCTGGGCTGTATCCTGGGCCCTTGGGGCCCAGAAGTTGGCATATTAAACTTGACAGCCAGATAAAAAATTATTTACAAATAATTTCCATTATTGGATGCTATTTACGCATCCAGATAAAATGAATCATTTTGCAAATATTCTGTTATTGGTTGTCTCTTTAATATGTTGTTTCTGAGTCCTTGGGGCCCAGAAGTTGGCATATTAAACTTGACAGTCAGATAATAAATTATTTTACAAATAATTTTCATTATTGAATGCTATGCATGCAGTCAGATAAAATGAATCATTTTGCAAATAATTCTGTTATTGGTTGTCTTATATTCAATAACTGTTATATTATTTTCTTTTCTATAACTAATAAAAATTATCTAAAATTATGATTTTTTTTCTTTTTAATGATCTTGCTGAGATCTTTCTTATGTCCTATATTTTTGAACTAATGTTCTTAATGTCTTTGGTCACTGGATCTCAACCTCTTCTAGTTCAACTTTTCAGAAGTAATTCATTGCATTGACCCTTGTTGGAATTAAAAGGTTTTATCAGGCTCTGTCTACTGTAGAACTGGTTGTTATCATGAGTTTATGTTGTATTTCTCATTATCAGACTTTCAGTTTCACATTATATCTTATAACTTTAGTTATTCCAAATTAGGTTTTAATTCATGTTCATCACCATGTGGTTTCTTAACTGCAAGCAACTTGTTATTTTTGAAAATAAGTCTATCTATAGATGTCCTGAGCCTTTGGTCCTATTGTGTTACAGTTCCCTATACCAAAAACAGAGTATAAAGTATATAATGTATGGTTTATAGGCAAGTTAATATGTGTGTATGATTCTCAGTATATAATTGGATAATCTGTTATCATGACTTTGTATAGTATTTTGAATAATACTTTAAAAGGTAGATACTAGAAACAAATATCTCTGTATATAAAATCTTAGAATTAGTCTATATGACTTATTTATTATTTAATATTTTTAAAAAAATATAAATAAATATATATATTTGTAAAATCAAAGATGCTATAACAAAGAATAGTAAAAATAAATTTTTTAGATACAAAAATTAGTGTTCTAATATAAATTTAAAGACTTCAAATATTTGGTAATTTTCATTTTTTTTATCAAATTTTTTATTAAGCTGATAAAATAGAGTTGAGTCAATAAAAATTAAGCAAATTTTTTCTAAGTAAATTTTTTTGAAATTTTAACCAACAATAACTTAGCAAAAACTTTATCAAATTAATAAAAGTTTTTTTAAAATAAATATTACCAATTGTAGAATTTATTTAAAAAATTTTTTATTAAATTTGATAAAGCTTTTGTTGAGTTATTGTTATTTAAAGGTTTAAAAAAATTTTAATAAAAACAATTTGCTTGATTTCTATCAACTCACTCCCAAATAATAATCACTAATTATTAAAAACCTAATTAAAAGAATTCATCAATCATTTCTAAATACAGATATGTTTTATAGATTTTTAATATTTTTTGTAAAACCTCAGAATTTTAGAACAGATTTATCAGAACTAAGTAATACTAGTTAATTAACTATATAACAATTAAATATTGATTTCATTAATAGGTTTTTAGGCTTAGTCACTAAAATTCAAACCAATATTCAGATTGCAAACACTATCAACTTCTTTTATAAAGAGTCATTTTCTTATACCAGAAATGGATTGTAATAAAGAATATGGTTTCTGATAACTAAAATAATGTCTGTGTAGATTTCTTTCTTTTCTGATTTCATATGATAATATTGCACAGCTATTTATTTTTTAGAAATACATTTCTACAATTACCATCACTAGAATTTGAACAAGCAGCCTTGCAATTTGTAATCTCAGAGCATAACTAATATGCTATTGATCTTAGAAATCAAATATTATAATTTTAATACATTTATAATAAAAATATTAAAAGAATAGTTTAGTAATTTCTATTGCAATGTTATATTTGTACTTGACTTTACTAAAATCACCTATGGTATTTAATTGTCTCAAAAACAAGTCAATTAATCAGTACAAAAAAATCTAAAAAAAAATATTCTATGCTACAAAACCCTTCTTAAATCTTAATTTCAGCTTTAAATAACTGAAATGAAAACCTAAACAGTAATGTATTGATATCAACAATTACATGAGTAATTCTGTACACACAATTCTTTGATGATAAAAAGTAATTTAATGAGTTATTGGTTTAGGTGACATTCATAAGAAAATATTTCTAATAAATTATTATTAAATCTTTTAAAACTTGTGGTATAGCAAATAATTTAGATACTTTAGAAAATTCTAATAAAGAAAATGAAAGTAAAAATAATGATTTAGTTATTAGTATTGAAAATAATTTTAGTACTAATACTACTAATATTGATGATTATATTAGTGATAGTAATTTGGTAAATATTTTACTGATAAAGAATAAAATATTTTGTTTATGAAGTTATATTAAATAAATAAATTTTTATATTATTATAGTTATCACATTAAATATAAAATGCTTAATTATAAAAAATTATTTATTTTGAAGGGGTGCTTATTTTTGAATATTATACAAATCAAAGATTGCTTATTTTCGGTAATGTATTTATATTATTACTATTCTGAAATTATTAATAAAGATAAAAGCAAGACCTCACCTTAATACCAAAAAAAAAAACCAAAATTTGTAATATATTATATAAGTAGGAAATCATTTAATTCTTTTCTTTTCATTTCGTGTTTATTTCACTCATTTATGTAAAATAATAATAAATAAAAATAATCAAATAAAAAACAAAAAAATTGACAAATTTTTTTTTTTTAGTTTGATCGTTGCAAATTGGTTTTTGTGGGCAGCATATTACTTGGAATTTTTTGTTCGACGGCTATCAGTTTTGAACTAATCATATTTGGGATCTAGCATAATTTCCTGAATCCAGAGGTTCAGGATAACTATCGTAAACCAGGGGTCTAGGATAAGAACAAACTTCCTTTTAACTGGCTAAAATTTAACAGTTATTTTAATTCTAACTAATTAGTAAATATCAAATTTCACCATAATCTGGTTTTAAATAATAATCGCTACAATAAATAATAGGTTAAATACGATTTAAAAAACTGAATTAATAAAACCAAGTCTTGTAAAAACTAAGTTTTATACATCTTATAAATCATAGTATTTGACAACTAGTTAATACACCAAACGAAATGCTTAGCATTTCAAAAAAACCAATCTTAGTTACAAACCTAGCTTTTTGCCTTCTAACCATCCAATCTTATTCAAACTTCTAGCCTAACGTCACTGCAAAAATATGTTTAATACTACTGGTATGGATAAATTTTTTGGAAAAAGTAAAAAATACAGTAACACTCAGAAAAAGTTCCATTTGAGGGAGTGAAATCCATATTGTTATATATACCTCGGCCAAAAAAGGTCTTGCATTTAAAGAAATTTTTATTATTAAAATTATAGAGAACCGACGGTATATAAAATTTATGAAAACTTAAATATATGATATATGCTAGAACATTATAATCAGTGTTGGCAGCAATAGATGAATAGAACAATAGAACAATAGAATAAAACAATAGAATTTAGAATAGAATAAAAATTTTGTCAATAGAACAAAAAATTGCCAACAAGATTATAATTAAATATTAATATAGCAATAAATAAATAGAATAATAGAACAATAGAATAGAGCAATAGAAATTAGAATAGAATATAATTTTTATTAATAGAACAAGAAATTGACAACACTGATTATAATGTATTTTATGATAATTTACCATATAATTTATTTTACAACATTAAGAAACCATCTTGTGATTTAAACGCCTATAATACCGAGCAAAAGAACACAGACATTACTTTAATACTTAATAATTTTTATAAAAAGCATTTGCCGCGGCTGATGCTGAGGTTTAGGGTTTCAATTTGAATCAACCAAACATACTAAAATCTACATATACCCTTTTACTAACAATTCTAATCATGAATCCTAAATAAAAACTAATAAACGCGCCTCAAAAATTTTTAAAATTTCATATCAAATAAAGTCAATTCTCAACATCAAACCGATCTCAGCTTCAGCCGCAATATCATTTAAGAATAAAACATACCTTGGTATATAGTTTTATATCAAATTTGAAGGGCATATTTCCAAAATTCACATTGATCCAAGAATGCGCGCTTTCCATCCCTACAATTGGATATAGTTGCTCGATTTTATTTGTACAAGCAACTCCTAATTGGTATAAAAATCAATAAACATTTATCTTTTGCATAAAAAAAATTTTTTTTGAGCATTTTGATTACCTAAATTCACACCATTTTTAGTAAAAAATATTTCGTTAGAGTAAAAATTTACGCAACAGCCAATAGTGTCTCCTGTTGTAAAAGTTGGTCCGTACTCAATTCCATGTCCAAATTCAATATATTTCCGGCCATTATCACCATGGTAACCTATTGAACCTGGATCCCATCCTAATAAATAATTTTTAAATAAGCGATTAGAAAAACAATTTTTTATAAAGAAAGTGCATTAATGATATAAACCTGCTAGTCTGTCAAGTCTAGGGTATGAAGCTGAAACACCAACAGATATTATACTGTCAAAGGAATAAATAAGATAAGATAAAATAAAATAAAGGTTTTTGTTAACTTTATAATCTAATTATATACGTCAATGATAAATTTTTTAAAAAACCATACTTGTCATTTCCACCCTCTAAAATGTCAACTTCAAAATAATAAATTCCAGCTTCTTTTGGAATACAATGGTTTGCTCTAACCGCTGCAAACATATGGTTTCCTGTTTTCAATAAAAGAGACAAATCTTAATTTCCAATAGATTTGTTTCATTTAGTTTTTCTAATAATTACCATTATATTTAACTAAAAGTAGATTATCATCAACATTTAGACCTGTAGAACAATCGTTTACGTTCCAACATGTAGGTATCAGGATCGGACATTTTGATACATTATTATATATCTCTAATGGTGAATCTTTTAAATAATCAGGAAGAAATGGAAGTAATGGTTTTGATTTTTTGATTCTTTTTTTTCTTTTACTACATATGATTCGAACTTTAGGCATTTTTTGTTTGTTAAATGAAAAAGAAATTACTACGGTATTTGTACGTACACTACGTATTCATAAAAATCGGTTAAAGCGGTGTTAATTCAATATATGATCTACATACTGCATAAAAAAATAACCAGCCGACCTCTATTCATATCCATATAAATGGTTATACTCCTCCAAATGTTATGACTATTTGTTACATTGTGTCACCAAGTATGGCATATATATATAAACTAACCAAATTCGTAATAATTTAAGTGCGCCAAGGGAAAACCTGAATCTGGAAATACGGAACCAGTATATAGAAGGTTTAAATAAGGTTTTCGATGGTCACATTGCGTGATAATTAAGCAACATTAAACCGGCTATATCAAAAGTCCTTGTACTAAAAAAAAAAAACTAGATATATGAAGATCACGATGATTATCATCGTGATCTCTATACCGGGTGTTTCAAAAGTTCCACTACATGTCCCTTTTTTTAAAGTAACTTTATATTGTGATTCTGTATTCTGCGAGTCTGTCGCTAAACTAATCCAACTCTCGCGTAACCTACGGCGGCTAAGTCGAAATAGGCGTGTTAGATTTGGCTGGTGGTTTATCCGTAGGTAAGTATTTGTCTCTTCTCTTTGTGTCTTTCCTTCAACCTCTTCTCTTACTAATCTAGTCTTCTTGTCTACCTCAACCGGGATTGCTCTACGTCGAATCGGGGTTGGGACTCTTCTATTACGTTATCGGTCTTGTCACGTGACTTACTGCGAACGATCAACTTGCGGTTTGGTGGTTTACGGGCTAGCGTTAGTGATAACAATGGGATTTTAACGATAGTTTATTAGTTTATTATAGAATTTATATTTTATTATGGGTCGGATATTTATTGTTATTAGAGGATTTATTTGTATAAGGGATGATTGATCTCTTTTCCTTGGGCAGAAATGCCCTTTATTTATAATAAACGTCTTATTTACATTTGTAATCAATTTATGCCATAAATGCAAGATATTCCTTACGTTAAATATATTAACTAAATGTAATAAAAGGCCGATATGTCATTTAACGCATATGTGGCAGAAGTAGCAGAAGTGACGTAAGTGCCATAACAGGCGCACGATTTGTCACATCCAAAATTTTATCATATGATTTTCATAAATTACACAAATCGACGAATTTGCATTTTTTAAAATTTCATCGGATACTTTAGTTTTAACATACAATGTTTTTTAATAAACTTGTTGCTTAGGTCTTTACGAATCAGAAGATATAAAAAACATAAAAAATAAGCTTTTCCATTTAAAGTAATATAGCTTCGAAAGTATGCAATTATTTTCTTTCTTTCACTTGCTTCTTCTCCAGTTTGCAAGCACTTGACATAAAAAATAGTTCTCTAGATGTGCCGAAGCAAGAGCTTTTACCAAAATGCATCTATGAAAGGCTGGTACATTATGAATGTAGCAGAGAAAATTGAGAAAAACTGTTTTATGAATAAGTAGATCATTATTAATTCAATAGTTTTTTTCTTTTATATATTACTTTTGTTTAAGAAAAAGTGTTATTTTTAAAATAATTTTAATAATTTATTTATAATATTAATTTCTTTAATACAACAAACTTTAATTATTTAAATTAGGATCGCAATCTCAGAATTAACTACTATACTTGGTTTTTCATTCTTTTATACTGATTATACCATCAATCTTGAATTCTTTTTGTATTCCAATACTCAGTATAAAGTGTCAAGTTTGTAACCAGTTTATCAACAATGCTTAAGGATAATACAATAGAGTCTTTGTATTCTTCAAGTTCTGCAAGAATTTGTTTTTTAGCATCTGAGATTGGGTATACTGAATGTTTTTTTTTGTGTAATGATTCTGAAGATAAACCAGATAAGTCTTGATCAACTTCCATATTATTATATAAGTCTTGATTAACCTCAACTTCCATGTCATCATGTGGTTCTGAAACTTGTGAATTGATTATTATCTCTTTTATTTCTATTTGATTAGTTTCTGCTCTTATATGTTTTTTATTTATTGTTGTATTCATAGGTATTAGAATCCATTTACCTAGTTTTATTTTTATATGTATAGAAGTGTTTTTATTTTACTTGTCAATATTATTCAGTTTTTTGATCCCTAATTCATAGCAAGTAAACATTTTTCAGTATTCATCTTCTGTTAGTTATATAGTTACTGCAAATAATTTGTGGATTTCTGACTGCTGACTGCTAAATGCTAATCTGAGTTTATCAATTAGGTTTCAAAGAGTTTCTAGATGATCTATAATGACCTATGAACTTCTGCTTATTGATTAATTATTAGTAAATTCTGAAATTAACAAAGTAAGTCAATTATATTCTGATTGTGTTACTTTAATGTTTAGATATAGATTTTTTAAATTTATTGTAAGGTCAGTTATATTTTCTTTTAGAAACTTTACTCTATATGTTTTTAGACCCTTGTCATAACCAAGATTATGTCTTTTTTGTATCAAATTAACTGACAGTATTGTTCAAAGATCTTGAAGAAATTGTAGATTACTATAAAGATTTGATATGAATCATGATATGGATTTAGTATATTTATATTTTCTTGTATCATAGAATAAAGATGCAAATGTCTTTAAGCTAATATGTACAACTAAAATTACTAATAAAGATATGAGCAAGGCCTCACCTTAATACCAAAAAAAAAAAAAAGCAAATGTCTTTAAGCTGTACATTTGTAGATTAAAGTTTGACATTCAAATGTCAAACTTGTGCAATTTTATGTATTTCATTTACTAATAAAAATTATATTATATTTTTAAAAGATTATTATTTTCTTTAGGAATATCATTAAGAGATATATTCTTATTCTTAATATATAAGTGGATTGAAACCCCTACAGCAGTTCAAAAAAGATCAAATACTCGAAATATTACCTAATAGGTAGTAATTTTTTCAAGTTTATTAAGAAATTTTATACTAAGTCATGTAGCAAGCCTAAAAAGCCTATAACTTGAAAAAGCAACAATTATTGCATGACATATTGCCTTGTTTGTGTACCATTCTCTTAGGATACAATTTACAGTTTGTTTTTCATTTTTGTAATTTCTCATATAATAATAGATTGTTTCATCACATACCAAATTTAACATACCATTTTCTGTATAGCCAAAATTTTTTAAAAACATATCAACTGATTCATGGACATGTTTATCTCTGTTTGGTGCTTTTTTTGGTTTAAAAATTACAACATTTGGAAGAGCTATAAACTGAGTTAAATTGATAGTTTTTCTAATGATTTCATTAATATGTTCACTACCAAAAATTAATTTTTAATTAATTAATTGGTTAAAAACTAAATCTACTTTTGTTTGCCATTATTCTATAATAGAACTTATATCTAAAAGAAGGCTGTCTTTTAGATTATTATTAAGATTGGTAAATGTTAAATGTTTGTATTAAAAGACTATTCATATTGTTACATATACAATATTTTAAAAGGTATCAAAAATATTACCATATTAGAAGGTTACATCTTTCATATCAATATTATCTATGGTTATAATATTTAATGCATTTGGATTTTTGTTTAGTCTTGACTGAGGTTCTGCAGCAGACTTTTTTTTTTGAATATAAACTTCATGATCTCTAATATATGCTATTATTTGAACTGCATGAAGAATTTTGTACAAAGTCCTAATTATTTTTGGTCATTAGCAGAGTGAAGAGAGAATATGTATAATCCATATCTTCTAATAAAGAAAAGCAATAGTAAGTATTACAAACGAAAAAAAGAAAGAAATTAGTTTAATTTTTTTTTTATTTAATTGTAGAGGTAGCATATTTCTTTTCTTTCTTTTTCTAACTAATACTTATAATTTTTTTTCTTTTATAGTTGAAATTAAATAATAAAAAAAGTTAACAAGAAATGGTGATATAATTTGAAAAAATTCTTTAAAGGATTTGGGTCCTTTGAGCAATGCTAACTTCTTTTTGAACTCAGATCACTTTTGTAATATAAAAGAAGCAAGCATATTTTCAAAAGCATAGCTAGTAGTAGTTTTTAGCAATAACTCTTGTTCTTCATTAACTTTAATTTTTTTAGCAAAAAATACTGTTTTTATTAAAAAACTACTTGGAACCAAAGATGCTATAGAAGATATATTAATAGTATCTTGCATTTTGGATTCAATATTAGTAATATTATCTTGCATTTTTGGTTCAATATTAATAATATTAACTTGCATTTTGGGTTTAACATTATTAATATTATCAAAAAGGTTAATAAGTTCTTTTAATAGATTAATCTTTATAGATTTATCTTCAGATTTAGCAGTCTGCTCAATTCACCTGATAAAAAATTTTAAAGTAGATATGGTATCAGCCTTGTGATATCCTCATTCTATATATGAAACAAACTAAATCCTTTTTTCAGTTAATTGGCAAGTGACCTTCATTTTTTAAGTGATTTTTTTAATAGTTTCTTATATTTAGACATTGCCAGACAACTGAACAATCCAAGGCATGGAGCTTGAACTGTGAATTCATACACTTTCTATGTATGTAATTTATATGTTCTACCTCTTGTAAAAAAATATCTAAATTTATTACAAAATAGGCAGTAACATAAGCATACAATATTTGTTTTAGTATTTTCTTCTTTTGAATTAAATTCATATACTGTTTTTTGATCATAATTTAAATGACACAAACGAATTTTTAATGCTAAAAGGTCATTCCTGATTTTTGCACAGCTTGAGAATTAATCTTCTATATGCCAGACAGTTGCTTTAAATTACAGTTTTCCAAGTTGGGACATCTTTGAATTGTATTTTCATTATTGTTATTGTTAATGATAACTAGTATATTCTTTTGATATAATGACTTAAGGTAAGAGGAATGCATTTTTCAAATTCAGATTTAATTATTTCTTCTTTATTATTACTTTGAGAAAATTCTTCTTTATTTTCAAATAGCTTATTATCTAATTCTTCAGTCGATTGAGTTATAATTTCTTGCAATTTTTCTAA